ATATATATGTATATTTTTTTTTTTTTTTTTTTTTTTTGGCCCCCCTCCGGTGTATTGCACAAAAATGGTATTTTGTATGAAGTCGTAGGGGAAGTGTTACGAAAATGAACTTTGCAGGATGCTCCCTGTGCAAATGTAACACACCAACACCGTGCGAGGAGCGCCACTCAACTGGCCCTTCACACGTGTAAAAAAAATAAATTCGTCTCAACATAAGAGAAATGAATAGTCTCTCCCATCGGCTGTGGAAATATTTCCCAAATTGTTAACATATTTTTTTTTCGCATTTTTTCGAGTCCCTCTTTTTTTCCCCCATTCTGAGCAGCCTTGTAAGAGGAAAAAATAAATACATCATTGTGTACATGTCTATTCCCCCATTGTAGGCACCTTGGGGGGGAGGGGGGGGAATCGCAGACGAGTAGTGCCATGGTGGTGTCTGCATCATTACGCCATTTCTTCTAAATTAACCGTTTAATTCAAGGGGGGGAAAATGATAAGTTAAGCTTAGCATGGGTGAGTTGCACGTGTGATTATTTTTTTTTATTTCCTTGGTTACGTTGTGGTGAAAAAAAATTATGGGTGGCGTTTTTCGCAAATGTTTATGAAGCGAGTGAAATAGGATATCCCTCAACAGGGGGGTGCACAAAATGGGAACAACAAAAAAAAAGGACACGAATGGGAGAAAAGTTGCAACAGCGTCATCGCATACATTTCTCTCGTTCGAATAAAAAGGCGGAATATTCACATGTCCCCCTTGCCTGTAATCCCCGACAGTTATGCAAACGTGTTCCCTTCAAACGGTTGGCAGGGAACATCACATGCTCGTTAAGCACGTGTAACATGCAGACGGGAGCGAACACACACAAATAAATATGCACACATGTAAACCATTCCCCCACTACTCATCCGAGTAATCGGAATAACCAAGCAACAGGGAATTGTTCTCACGGGTGGAAGCCTTTCTTACGTCTGTATGGCCCTCCTTTGGAGAAGCGATGGCACTTTTTTTCTTCGTCTTTATAATGGCCTTTACACTAGTCTTATTAACTGGAATGATTTTTTTTTTTTTTTTAATCATATTTTTTTTTATCTCACGTAAGTTAAGATGATTACTTTCTTCTTCCTTCCACAAATCTGCTTCATCTTCTTTTTCCTTTAATTCTTTTTTCTTTGCATAACTTTTTAAAGCTTCTTTAAATTCAAATTCTACTTCTTTTTCCCTTTCCCTGATTTTCTGAATACTATAATTATCATGCTTCGCATAATTGTCGTAGTACTCAGCATATTCTTCGGTCATATTAGGCATGTCATATATGTTGGCGAGTCCTGCTTCATCTTCTTTGCCTGGTCCACCTGCACCACTGTTGTTATTTTTTTTGAGTTCCAATTGTTCCGATAGACTTAGAAACTGATTATCCCTTTTAAATTCTGGTAGCTCCTTTAGCCTGTTATTTTCATCAATCTCTTTTGCGCTCCTCGCGTCCTTTTCATGTTCTTTTATTCCTTCATTGGTATACTCCTGTTCATAAATGTGTGTTTTTATAAAGTTCATTTTTTCGGGTTAAGTGAGCGTTTATATGTGTATGTGTGTGTGCACAGGAAGGGGGGACGCGTTATTCATCGCAGCGGCTTCGAATGATGGCCAAATTGAAAATGGACTCTCCTTTTTTTATGCGCCACAAAGATGGACAAGCCACGTGCAGCATGTTCCCCGCGTTGTTGAATCACCATGTGGGGGAGGGTTCTCCCCCTGAGGTCAAGTCGCCAACTCCTCAATTGCGCCACAGCGCTATTCCGCCAATAACAATATTTTCGTGTAGAGGGGCAGGGCAAACTCTTAACAAGGCTTCAATTCAGTTTGACCTGGACCCCTTCATTTTATTTTTTTCATCAAAATTGTTAAAACGGTTATATCATCTGAATAATATTTTTTTTTTTTTTTTTTTTTTTCTTCCCACAAATTATGCGCACTTGAAAAATATATATATATGTGACAGAGCATTTACGGATTGTTGGCGGGAGAATGAAACAGAGATGCACGAGGAGCGAGTGTTCATGTTACTTTTGGCCACCCGCCGTGTAAACAATATTTAGCTAACAATGCATAAATTAAAAATTTACATTTGCCCCTCTTGGAGACTCCGTTGTGCGGGGGCGAAATGCCATTTTTGCTCCTAGGAAATGTTTTACCAAATTGGAAAAAACAAATTTCACGTGAAGGCAGAACATGAGACGAACAGTCCTTAAAACTGAATTGCATCCTTTGGATATTCGAATGAATTTTTTTTTTTGTTTTTTTTTTTGCCACGTGTGAATGGAAATTACTTGGAACAGTCCGTAACTTCACGGAGTAGGCTCCCATTTGTAAAAAAAAAAAAAAAAAAAAAAAAAAAAAAAAAAAAAAATTAAAATGGCCATTTTATACAGCATGTGCTGGTTAAGAAGTTTGGCGGAAAGTATAATCGGAAGGTGTGTATTGACCACTCTAAATGATCAATTCGCGGCGGCAACAGGGACAAGTGAGGTTAAACTTAAACCAGCTCTTGACGCACTTCCAGTGGTAGGTGTGAAGACAAGCCAACTTGATGCACTTGTCGTAGTTTTGAAAATATTCGAAGCAAACGGCACACTGTTCATATGCAAAGTTGGCACTTTTATTTTTTACATCTATGTGTTCATCCGCATCTACGTCTAGCAGCATCTTGCCACCCTGACCATCCTCCCGTGTGTGGTTCTTATATACATACTTATACTTATCCAAATGGCTTAAAATTCGCTGTTCGTTGAGGGCACTCTCTTGCAAGTTGGCGTTAGTTGATGGGAAGAGCCTTAACAAAGAGTCTGCATCTAACTGTTGCAGTATATTCAAAACGGCATATGGTTTGTATTCTACTGGTAAGCATTGAATATAATTTATGGACTCATTTGAAATAACATCAAAGAAAGTTGGTTTGATGGCCCCATCGGTGTATATAAATGTGTTGCAGGTAATTCTTCCTCTTCCTGATTTTATGTTCATGGGGTCGATACCCATAATTTTAAATTGCACCCCTTTATAAAAAAAAGTATCGTGTATGGAAAACAAACTTAAGTAATGCCTTTCTATGTACGGCTTAATGTAGTCTGTGAAAATGTCATAATTGTAGGTCGTCGGTAGTGTGTCGTACAGGGGCACTATGTGTACATTCTTAAACGGGTCGTACGTGTCTGCGTTCAGGCAAATCTCCTGCGAGGGGGGAGGGGGGAAGCATCGATGTAGAAGTGATTTGTTGGGGGCATGCCAAAAAAAAAACAAAAAAAATCATGGACTGCCGACATAGTGGCGTGAAAAGAACATACGCATCGTCATTAGCAGCATCACCATCATCATGCACCGGGGGTACCAACGGTACATACACAAATGCACACACACATATCAGCGACGCGCCCTGTTCTTTCCTCACCGTAGAGTTATCCACGAAGCCCACATTCACGTCCGCATCTATCTTCACCACCAGGAAAGAGAAATTATTTATAATGAGGAGCTTGCCAGTGTAGAATAGCTTAGTCCTGTTTTTCATGAAATAGGGGTGCAGACAGGTAACAAGTATTTTTTCCAGCACGAGACTTGTTTTCTTCATGGTGGTAGGGTGGGGCGTGCTTGTGTCGCCTTTCTTTGCTCCGAGGGTCCTATTGCTCTTCCCCTTTTCTGCACTGGACTTACTCGAAAGGTGGTCAAAGGAAAACGGAATGAGTGACATGGCTTCATTAAAAATTTGATTGCCTTTTTTAAGTATATATTTTTTTAAAGAAAAAAATTTTTTTTTCAATTTTTTTTCATATTTTTTATAGTATTTATCTCGTATTATTATGAGATGAATTTTTTTTAAATTGTCCACGTATTTTCCATCCGTGTAAATTAGGGTGTCCAGAGTGAGGATTCCCTTGGAAGGTATGCAATTCACAACAACGTAGTAGTCTGTACATTCCTTTAAAGGGGAAATTTCGTTTGCTACATTGTCCTTGTTGCATTTTTCATGTACGCAAATGTGGTTATTATTGGGTGTATTTTTACATTCCTTTTCGTTCGAATTTTTTTTTTGTGTGTGACTGTGCGATTCCTTCCTATGTGCAATTTCCAATGAGTCCTCATTTGGGCAAGGTCCCTCTTGATCACTATTCAATTTTTCGAGAATCTTTTTTCCTGTTGTGTTGCTTTCATTTTTACTGGGATCCGCCTTGTCATTTGTTAGATCTTGCTCCTTTGGGGTTTCCCCTTCCTTTAGATTTTTCCATGTGTTCTTCTCCCTGGTTATCCTTTCCTGTTCTCCATTTGCTGCAATTATGAACCCCTCATATAGGACGCATTTGTCATTTATCAACAACTGCAGTTTCCTATAAAGAGCATCTGCGTTGTCGACTTTTTTTTTTATGGGCAATATGTGCACTTTTTCTAGTATATGTTTTTTTTCTACAATATTTAATTTTTTTTTTGAATTGACATTACTCAGGAAATGCATATGTTTGCTTTCTCCTCTTGTGCAACTTTCCATTTTTTAATTTTCATGTCTTCCTTTTTGAATGTTCTCCGCGGAATTTGAGACACCCTCTGTGTAGTAGACGGTTTACTATATTGGAGCTAAATCTCGAAATGTTTTTAGCGTGACAGTTTTTAAGAGGGTTGCTTTTACGAGCATTCCCATCTCGGTGTGTACATAGATATGGGTGCACGTAATAGCGCACAGGTGGACGTTGTTGAAGTGGACTTGTGAGCAAAGCGTGTCGGTTACTGGCGTATCACCATGTGGACAATGTGTTGAGAAAAAAAAAAAAAAAAAAAATTCAGTTGTGCTAAACTGCAGAGTGACTCCTTTTTTGTTTTTTTTTTTTTTTTGCCAAAAAATTCGCCTTCTATTTTGCTCTGTTCGGCTTCTCTTTATTTGCCTTTCTATGTAGACAAAATGTAGATACTTTTTCTACGGGAATCTTCGATTGATGCGCTCGTAGCAGCACACCTGTACATTCTTGGAAGCGTCACGCCGGTGGGATTATCAATCTTGTTCCAGCATCCACGACCCCACCTATTTCACTGTTAACTTGGGAAAAAAAAGGAAATAAAATACGAACGCTAACGATACGAGGGGGATACTTCGGTTCAAACGGAGCACTAGGAGCATTCACTTTATTCTATACATTATAATTTTTGCATTTAGTGGAAGTTATTTTCCCTGTTGTATGGGCGTCCTTTTTGCAATCTCTTTTATATTTCCCCCTTTTTTTTTTTTTTATTCTCCCACTGTTGATATGTAGACAAGTTCAGTGTGCGAATTGAACAACGTCGTTGCCTTTTGGGGCGCGTGAAACTAATGTGAAGACATAAAAATCAAATAGAGCAAAATGAAATGAGGTAACATAAAATATAATGGACCGCGCAAAAGTGATGAAATAGGAAAAGTGGAAAAAAACAAAAAAAAAAAAAAAAAAAAGAACGCCAAATGGATGTAGAAATTTATATCTTATTTTAAAAAGTGCGGGGAAACAACGGGGTGGTGGATGTAAGGGACCATTTTACAGTTTTCCTTTATTTGCTCCTATTATTCTACGCTTTTCAGCGTTTACCCTATTCGAACGGCTACAAAGTCTAAAACAACAGCACTGAATAAAACTAAAAACTGATATACTTAAAAATACTAAGAATGTACGCAACAAATGTATGTTCATAATAATTTTATGAAAAAAAAAAAAAAAATAAGTAATGTGGCAGAGAAGGAAAAAATATTTAAAATTAGACAAAAAAACACAACAGCGTTTTGTAAAAAATTTCTGTGGAGTCTACCGACAGTTGAAAATATTTGTGCGTAAAATTTCGATATCGTTTTGACCAATATTTTTTTGCTAATTTTGTATATTTTTTTTCACTTTCATTTTTACTTTTACTTTTTTTTTTTTTTTCGTCATCCTCAGAATTTTCCTTTCTATGTGTACTTAAAAACATTTTGAAAAATTCCTTTGTTGCATGACATAACAAAGTCCGAGGTGAAAAAGGAAAAAAAAATGTAGAAAGTGAAATGTGTAGTTCTGTTTTAAAAATAACGCCGCTTACAACTACACGCACCGGTTGCCTACAACATTTATGTTGTAAAAAAAAAAAAAAAGGGGGCAAAAAAAATGCGAAAAATGCATAATAAATATGTACGAGTAAAAAATCGGAAATTTCCTGTTACATGCTCAATAATTTTACTTTACGTTTGATACACATTTTTTAAATTTCCTTCTACACCATTATAACAGCAAAAGTCGCTTTTGCAGTAACCGCGCGTAAAATGACGCTGTGCGATTTTGTATTGAGGGGAATATTTTTTCTACATGTAGGAAAAAATATGCTAATGCAGTAGAAAAGAGAATATATCTACATAGGAACGATGTAGCATTGATGCGGAGAATTTTAAAAAATGGTCTAAAATGGCTGAAAACATTTTGTTCTATGCCATTTGGGTGAAGTTATGATTTTTTGCGGCCATTCCCACTTTGTTCATTTTTCGCTGATATTCTTCCCCCTGTTCAGCTTAACAACTTCGTACATTTTTTCTTCACCACGGATAAACATGCACACATATGATGTGGCATAAAATTAAGAAGTGATACTGTACGCATATGCCTGCAGCAAAGTTGGGATATACATATGTATATCCGTAAGTGTAGCGCGCCGTACGTGCGTACATGCACACACACTGTGAAGTGACTATGTCGAATAGTTCATTCCTTTTCTCCTACATACTGTCCAAGATTATGCTTTTCTTTCTATCTATGGAGAATTATTTTCTACACTTAAAATATAAGCATTTTACATGGCAAAGATGAACAAGAACGCTGCGCGCCATAAACACGCACATGTGTGTGTGTGTGCAGCACGGTACAATAGCTGCTGTATCTTTTTTAGTACTTTTGCCTGAACAGTTCATGTAAACCACACAGGTTTGCCTTGTGCATGACAAAAAAAAAAAAAAAAAAAAAAAAAAACGAACGCAACACGTAACGTCAATTTAGCTGTACGCCTGTTCGCAACAAAACCACTTGGATGAACTTTGTTCTCTTTTTAACGTTATCATAAATCCTACATTTGGTGTATGTAAAAAAGAAAAATCCTTGTTTGCTTTCACCATGTGTGCAACCGTGCAAGTCTTTCTCGAAGGCATGCAGGCAAACGCTATAGGAAGTAAATGGACAGAAAATGTGCATACTGTACATGTACAAATATATGCTCACTTGTGAAGAAGTACACATCGTTCGTTTTGTTTACTGTCCACGGAATGCCATCCACTCCGTCACTTCTTTTTTTTTTTTTTTTTTTTTTCCTTTCCTTTCCGGGGAGGCGTATAATTTGCCAAAGTCTCAAAAAAGGCTAGTATAGTAGCACAGGTAAACACCTCACCATGTACATAATTTTACATTTCACGCGAATATCGCAATAGTGGGCGGCCGGTAACTTTGCTAACGTAAAAAAAAAAAAAAAGTTCGAAACAATAAAATGATGAACTGGTGAAATGATAAACGAGTGAGTGCTCGATTAATCCGCGCAATGTCCATATAGACGTCAACTTTGATAACAAAAAGAGTCCTATTTTTGGAACATTGTTATAAGCTTGCTCAACATCTCTGCGGAAAAGGATATTACACGATAAGCTAAGCAATGCGTAGAACGTGCAGAAAAAAAAAAAAAAAAAAAAAAAGGGAACTTCCTTAAGTGGTACGCGTTGCCGCTTTTATTAATATATCCAACAAAACAAATATTCACAAATTACACGCATGTGTATATGTGCGCTTATGTGAACACATATCTGTTCGTACATTATGTGAGCTCTTCATAAAAGGGGCGTGAGGGAAAGTTCAAGCAGGCATTAACTTGCACTTAATCCCTCAACCCATTCCCCCCCTCCAAAAAAAAAAAAAACAAATTGCGCATTTAATCCCTGTTCATTTTAATAAGATACAAAAAGTTGCAAAAAGGAAGAACGGTTGAAAATATGCAAATGTATTTCTTTTTTTCTTTTCATTTCTTTCTTTTTCTTTTTTTTTTTTTTTTTTGCGTACACACTGTTAATTGTTTAACTCAAAATTAATGGATTTTTTTTGTTTTTTTTGTCCAATTAATGGTGTTCATTTTATATTTTATTTTTAATATTACGCAAAGGGAGGAGGAAGAGAAAATATAGCACACAATAACATAAAACTGTTACAGAACAGGACCAAACGGAAAACTGGTCAACCTCATCGGAGTAAAAAGAAAAACTTACATTTTGTTAAGAGAGAAAACAAAAAAAAGACACGCCATCACTTCATTAAAGTGTTACAAAATTTGTTAAATTTTATTGTAAATATTGTAAATGCTGCGTGAATGACATCGCTTAAGAGCACAACATAAATGATGCCCCCCCTATAAGCGCAGCATGAACGCGTCTTAGTTTTATGCGCTTGTTTATTTCACTTTTTTTTTTGTGCCGTTTTTTGTCCAACGGTCGCCTTAAATTCGACTTGCAACAACTCGTGGAGGAAAAAAAATGTTGGACTCGGATGCCGATGTACCTCAAGAAATTCTGGTGGAATACGAAAAATTGTTGAAAAAGTCATACACGGAAAATTTTGACGAGTAAGTATGTGCATTGGATGCATGTCTCTACAAATGAGCACTCTGTTGTTTTATTTTATTTTTTCCACAAAGTTGGGCCAGACAATGTACAAAAGAATTGAGCATTATACATGAGTACGCAACGCGATTGTTCACACCCATGTATGCGCTTTTTCTCTGTCGCATGTTCACACGAATTACTTTTCTTCTGAGCAGATTATACAAGACCGACTTGCTGAAGGTAATTGGGAAGGATGGATACGGCTCACACATCGTCTTGTTGATTCCGTGTTTTATCGTGTCGTCCGGTGAAGACCCTGAGAAGACTCTGTAAGTGGATCTTATACGGGTGGTGTTTATTTGCGTGAAGCGCGTGAATTGTAGCAGTGCCGATGATATAATTTTATTTATGTTGCCCCCATTTTTCGTCCCTTTGCCGCCTCTCCACATGCAGGAGATACGCCATCCTGACATTGGACCCAATCGTGAAAGAGAATTATGTATTGATTCTGTGCGAAACGCATACAAATTGGTTGACCGACGCGGTTTACGCGTACGCAAAGCAGTGTAAGGAGGGAAAAAAAAAAAGTGACCAATTGTGATGGCGCGAAAAAATGCAGACATTCCATGTTGATCATTTTCTCACGCGTAAGAAAAGGCTCCTGGGAAAGATCCCCTTTGCATCATTTAATTTATCCCCCGCTCGCAGGGTACGACATGCTTCCGAGGAAATACAAAAAGAACCTGAAAAAACTGTACTTGGTGCACAGCGGATTCATGTCCAAAACGGTGCTAACTGTTGTGACTCCATTCGTGTCACCAAAATTTTGGAAGAAGGTAGAATACATAGAAAAGTTAGAAGATCTGTTTTTACAATTAAATATAAATCCAACATATAATTTGAGATGCTTTCCATATATAGTTCAG